GTCAGCCATTGACCAACAACATCAACAACAACGACAACGACAACGAAGACCTGTACCAACCTCGCATCAGCTTAAGAAGATCAGTTTATAAGGTCACATAAATAAATAGATTGGACGACAGTTGCATATATCGTGCAGGTCACCCTTCTTTAACAATAATACGGTTTTGCTGGTCTTCCACTGAGTAGGGACCTTGCACTCAGTCAGGTAACGTGTGAAGAACCGTGCCTGTGTTTTTACGAGGACGAGCAAAATGTTCTTTAGGTGTTCTGGTCTTATCCAGTCTGGACCTTATCCAGGCGTTGTGGATGGGGCTTCTGGAATTGCGAGTTACCATGGATTGTCTTGGTCAGTATGGTAAACTCAGATAGCCGCTCACCGTGTTCGTTCCATTCTAATCCATGGGTCCCAAGCAATGTGGCGTTCCTCAGACGTTTTTCTTGGTCCAATCTTGGCGTTGAAATCTCCAATGATGACCTTGAAGAATGTGTGGTCTTCCCTGTAGAACTTCTCTAAGTTCATATAGAACGCTTCGAATTCTTCTTCGTCGTAGTTTGATGTCGGGGCGTAAACGACGAAGATTGTTAAAGCCGGAATTGATCCACGTCTTCTTAATCGTAAACGTCCGATTCGGGTTGTAAGTTGTTCGAATGAATCGATGTTCATGGGCAAACTCATGTTAATGAGAACGCCGACACCACCGACTTCTGTGCTGTCGCATGTTCCTAGGAACAGTCCTTCTCCGGTGTCATAGACGGTGTGAATAGGCCGGCGTCTTCTCGTCTCGCTCAGGCCGATGACGAGGTACTTTTTCCTTCTTGCTTGCATGAGCAAGTCTTCTATCGAGAACTCGGATGCAAGTGTACGTTCATTGTAGGTACAGATTTTCACTATAGTTCCTTGAAATCCAGGCAGCTTCCATTGGCCCTGAGATTTTAGCAGGAACACCGTACTCGTCCTACCCAATGCTGCGAAATTGGGAGCTCTTTCAGGGTCAGGGAAATGAGACCCGTTTTTTTTCACTGTGTTTACTATTTTTGATACTCACGTGTAGCTTGATGGGCTCTGAACGTGGAGGCTGGGTATGCTCACGGGTAGCTTGCCAGGTTCTACCAGAGCGGACATGGAGCTTATTTGCTGGGGGCGACTCCTAACCGCCTCTCATATACTTCCCAGTCAATTGACTGCAGGCTTTTGGCCGAATTGACTCGTAGAATACAATCCACATAAGCAAGAACGCACCCACACACGCATGCATGAATACGCCTAGCAAATACTGAAGGAATGCGCGAAATCAGCGCAGCAGAAACAGGTAGTCTATCCACTGGATCCGCCTGCGTCCCAGTGAAGCAAAGGTCGCTTTTGTCCGCTATTAACCCTCTATCCGCCACCTGGGACGCGCCACGCAGCCTCGCGACTAACTGGCTCGGGATCCCTCAAATGAGGGAGGTCCGTGGCCTACATTTACGTTGATAAATCAGACAGAAGTTTTGGGTATCCAAACTACTGTATTCAAGATGAGTATTTGGAATCATTGTTCTCACCACGATTCTGGTGACTGGAGATAATAAATAGTTTGCTTTTCTTTCTTTCTTTCTTTCTTTCTTTCTTTCTTTCTTTCTTTCTTTCTTTCTTTCTTTCCTTCTTATTTCACATTTTCATCATTCTAGCCGCAGTGGAAGCCATTCTGTCAATTTTACTTAATACCGCACAAATTAAGAATTGGGGCTGAATTTGCTGGAGGCACGGATTGAAGTGCCGCTTTAGTAATCAGACCCTCGAATGCATACGCTTCTGTCTTAGTCGATGCAATAACGTGATGTTAATTCACAGCAAAAAAGATGAAGAGATGAGATGGACGGCAAAATTCTGTCCATATCACTGTTATGACAGTTTAATTCTCCTATGCCAAGAATAAAATTTCCTAGGTTACGTGATTAAAAAAAAATTAAAAAAACCACACCTCTGCGTGAAGCCGTTGTTATCGAACGAAAGGTTTTGATTGGTGTTAGGATAACGCAAGTTTAGGGAACTGCCTGTTCGGATGAAAGTGTCCGTAGACAGCAGATCCTTCACATCCGATCGACTTGCTCACGATTTGATTCAGAATGTTGCTCCATTGTGGGCTTAAAGCCTATCTAGAGCTCTATTCAATCATTTCTCAGTTAAGGAAGGAATTTTTCACGTTTAGCTAAAAACTAAAACGGATTGAAAATATTTTTGAAGTAAAGCGACCTATAGAGCCAATCCACAATTACCGACTGATTGCCTGGCAATCCGGACATCTTAACAAGAAGCACTTGACTCACGGTCAAGTGATATTTGCCGGTCACTTCTTCACCTAGCGACTCCTCTCCTTATACCAATTGAGAAGTAATATTACTTATTAGTGCTTTGAAGGAAAAATCAATAACACAAATTTGCGTTACGAGGTATTTTTTCTTGAATAGTGCGTAAGCAAGAACAGGCGAAATTTCGAAGCCAAAGTTCGTTTAACCTAGTAATTCTCCTGGTTTAATTGATAAGTTTATTCAAACTCTTTAAAAATCCTCATCGTTTTTAACGTCCCTGCAGCAATTTTTCCTTCGAATCCACGATGAATCCAATCGATAATCTGCGCAACAGCAAAACGTAGCCGCCTGTACGACTGTCGATGTGCAGCAGAAAATTGCGTATCTGCTCTAGCCATAGAAACGAGGATTGTTTGGGTTCATATGCCGGGACTTGTGCTGGCATAATGCTCCACTCTCAGTCCCAATTAACGAGGATGGTTAGGATTGATAACGGAAAGGTTCTCGGAAAGGTTCTACACCAGTCTTCTCCTCTCCAGAGCTTACATCTTGGATCCGGAAATCCCCGCTGGTGAAAAATCGCCTCAGATTCTGCTCTCCACGTTTCGGGTTGAAATAGAAAGCATGAAAAAAGGCGCAGCCCCAGAAACCGATAATATTACGCCCTACTTCCTTAGATCACGTTCCGTTTTCGGGCCTCTCAACGAAGCCAGCGACCAACTGATCGACCCAAAAATCCGCGATTACCTTTTTAACTCGGTAGAAATTCCAGCGGTCTGCTATGCAGAAGAAGCGTGTGATGATACCTCAACTATGTCAAAAATTCTCGGCACCACTCCCATAGCCCTTGGATAATGTATTCTGAAATATAACCGGCACACACAGTATCTAGCCGAAATGCGAAACTCTAATCCTAGAGTAACTGCCACGACCGACTTTCTATTAACCTCGGCATTGATCAAGTGATTTTGTTCATATTTTTTTGAGCAAATGCGAGGTGTTACTATTCTTTGTTCACGATTAAGCTGACGTTTCGGCGAATTTCGCCTTCTTCAGAGCCTGGAAAGGTCAAGTTGATAGCAACTCACTCGGCCAGACGCCTCCATAACCAAACAAAGAAACCCCAAACCAAGATTTCAATCACTTTGAACACAGCTTTGCACACTCACCGCTTTCTATGAGGTCTCCACTAAGTATGTCACGTAGAGACCAACCGCACAGAAATCACGTGGAAGTATAATGTGCCCCTCACATCAGAAAATCAGTTTTATATACTGCCCTATATCACGCGTGATAATAAGGCATTCTTCCCTGCGGTTCATTTTCGGATTTCTGGAATTAATCCAGAGTGCCTCGAGGCTTTTTCGCGCCTGTGTTCTCGATTGGTTGCTGGAATGCGTCCATCTCTGTTGTGAACGCCGCACATTTGTTGCTGAAATACCAGCATCTCTGTTGTGAACGCCGCGCATTGGTTGCTGGAATACGTCCAACTCTATTGTAAACGCCGCCGATTTGTTGCTGAAATACACCACCACCTATTGTGCCACCTATAATAATCTGAAAATCTAATAATCAATAATAATAATAATAATTATAATTATAATTATAATCTAATAATAATAATAATTATAATAATTATAATCTAATAATAATAATAATAATAATCTATTAATAATTAATAAATAATCTATAATCTATAATCTAATCTACTATTAATAATCTATTAATAATTTATAATCTATTATAATCCTATAATCTTGTGCCTATAATCTGTGCCCACCTATTGGACTTCACGATTCTTCCTTCCCGCTGTAAAGTATGCGTCAGAAACCTGGTCGCTACGTGGGCAGGATGAAAGATCACTTAGCGTTATAGAACGCATATCATAAGAGACGATCCTAGGAGTATCCTGTACCATGCAACTGACGCCAAGGACTTAATATATGAAAATGTTCCACGGCCGCACAACTTGTGAAGACGAGCTGTACAAGCAAGCAAGCAGGCGTTGTGTTTGTACTGTCTACTGTATAGCTGCAACAGTGTGAGGCTGAGGTGGTTTGCCATACAGGAGCACTAGAGGAATCCGAAGATACCAGTAGGAAATAGTTCCGCCAGCATTCATTGACACTATGTCAATATCATCAATTGGTAGACGAATCCACATTGAAATTCGAAGATCTTCGTTGAATGATGAAGGCGGGACAACGGTCAGAATGTGAGAAATACTGGGATATGTTTAATATATGAAATAATGCTATATAAATAAATAAATAAATAAATAAATAAATAAACTCTTGAGGAGTTTTGGATAAATTTCAAAAATCCAAAGATGATCCGGAAAAACGAATGCCTCACTACCACGCGTGACCTGGCGCCCTATTTCAAAGTGATATTTTGACCCCGGAGTGTGTCTTGCTCGCAACCACACGTAAACAACGCATGCGCCAGTCCCGCACGTAACATCACGGTGAGTGGTGTTTCTGTTCAATATGGCGTCTATTTAAGAGTTTGACGGATCTTTCTCATACAAGAGATCTCGAGCCGGTTAGTCGCGAGGCTACGTGGCGCGCCCCTGGTGGCGGATAGTGGGTTAATCGTGGACCAAGAGCGACCTTTGCTTTCCTGAGACGCAGGCGGATCCAGTGGATAGACTACCTGTTTCTGCTGCGCTGATTTCGCGCATTCTTTCAGTATTTGCTAGGCGTATTCATGCATGCGTGTGTGGGTGCGTTCTTGCTTATGTGGATTGTATTCTACGAGTCAATTCGGCCAAAAGCCTGCAGTCAATTGACTGGGAAGTATATGAGAGGCGGTTAGGAGTCGCCCCCAGCAAATAAGCTCCATGTCCGCTCTGGTAGAATCTGGCAAGCTACCCGTGAGTATACCCAGCCTCCACGTTCAGAGCCCATCAAGCTACACGTGGGTATCAAAAATAGTAAACAGAGTGAAAAAAAAGGGTCTCATTTCCCTGACCCTGAAAGAGCTCCCAATTTCGCAGCGTTGGGTAGGACGAGTACGGTGTTCCTGCTAAAATCTCAGGGCCAATGGAAGCTGCCTGGATTTCAAGGAACTATAGTGAAAATCTGTACCTACAATGAACGTACACTTGCATCCGAGTTCTCGATAGAAGACTTGCTCATGCAAGCAAGAAGGAAAAAGTACCTCGTCATCGGCCTGAGCGAGACGAGAAGACGCCGGCCTATTCACACCGTCTATGACACCGGAGAAGGACTGTTCCTAGGAACATGCGACAGCACAGAAGTCGGTGGCGTCGGCGTTCTCATTAACATGAGTTTGCCCATGAACATCGATTCATTCGAACAACTTACAACCCGAATCGGACGTTTACGATTAAGAAGACGTGGATCAATTCCGGCTTTAACAATCTTCGTCGTTTACGCCCCGACATCAAACTACGACGAAAAAGAATTCGAAGCGTTCTATATGGACTTGGAGAAGTTCTACAGGGAAGACCACACATTCTTCAAGGTCATCATTGGAGATTTCAACGCCAAGATTGGACCAAGAAAAACGTCTGAGGAACGCCACATTGCTTGGGCCCATGGATTAGAATGGAACGAACACGGTGAGCGGCTATCTGAGTCTACCATACTGACCAAGACAATCCATGGTAACTCGCAATTCCAGAAGCCCCATCCACAACGCCTGGATAAGGTCCAGACTGGATAAGACCGGAACACCTAAAGAACATTTTGCTCGCCCTCGTAAAAACACAGGCACGGTATCACACGTTACCTGTCTGAGCGCAAGGTCCCTACTCAGTGGAAGACCAGCAGGACCGTGTTATTGTTAAAGAAGGGTGACATGCACGTTGTATGCAACTATCGTCCAATCTGCTTACTGTCTGTCGTCTACAAACTTTTCTCTCGAGTCATCCCAAACAGGATTGACAGAACACTGGACGAGAAACAGCCATGTGAGCAAGAAGAGTTTCGAAGAGGATTTAGTACGGTGGACCACATCGAGACGGTAACACGGCTCATTGAAGTATCGTGAGAGTGCGAAAGGACACTCCGTCTGAGTTTTGTCGATTTACGGAAGGCCTTTGATTCAGTTGAGATAGAAGCAGTCTGGGAAGTCCCTGATAGTCAAGGTGCACCTACTCAGTACATAAAAATTCTTCGTCAGCTTTATAAATTTTCACAACCGAGACATCACCATTCTACAACGATATTTACATTGACGTCAAAAGAGGAGTTAGGCAAGGCGATACCATCTCGTCAAAATTATTTACCGCCACCCTCCAGAACGTCATGCGAACAATGGAATGGGATAATATGGGAGTGAAAATCGATGGTCGGCAGTTATACCGTCTTCGCTTTGCTGATGATATCGTCCTTATAACACCAAACATTAGCCAAGCGGAATGTATGCTTGACGACTTTGATAAAGTCTGTGGAAAGATTGGTCTTCGACTAAATCTCACAAAAACGATGTTCATGAAGAACGGATTGATTTCACATGCCCCACTCACGCTCAACTTAACGAATATCTCCGAATGCTCCACTTATATCTATCTAGGTCGACAAATCAATATGATTAACGACCTAGCTCGAGAGCTGAGAAGAAGAAAACGATCGGCTTGGGAAGCTTTCAAGAGCATCGAGGGCGTAGTGAGGAAAACAAAGAACACCCGACTCCGTGCCCACATTTTCGACTCAACGGTACTTCCTGCCCTAACGTATGCGTCAGAAACCTGGTCCCTGCGTGAGCAGTATGAAAGGTCACTCAGCGTTATCGAACGCGCAGTCAAAGGACGATGCAAGGAGTAACCCGTTTCACACAAGTAAGGGATAGGATCCCGAAGCTCCGGTCTGCGTCAACGGTCAAAAATCAGAGATGTCGTTCTGTACGCCAAACAGTCTAAGACAAGCTGGGCCAGACACGTTATGCGCATGAATGACAACCGATGGACAAGAGCCGTTAGTGACTGGATTCCACGGGATGTCAAACGTACTGCAGAAAGGCCACCGACCCGATGGTCAGATTCCAAAATCGTGGCATTGTCGTTGTCGTAGAATATAGAAACGGTTTTAAGAACTTACATCCACTCCTGCATAAATGAAATGTATTTCTCCTTCTTCGGCCAACATGGCGAATTTTGCAAGGGTTTTGTCGACTTTGGTAAATTTTGCGTCCTAAACCGCATGCAGTCCGCTCTGACCAGTATGCCAGTGCATTTTTTCCGACCAAAATCCACCGTCCATATTTAAGCGTTTTTTTTTTCATTGTAAAGGAATCGGGTGCAAATCCGTAGACATTTGCCAATATTTTGACAGATTTCAGTAGAGCTCAATTAAATAAAAGCGACCGAAATCGTCTCAGACATTGCGTCCTACTTAAATAGTTCACTCAAAATCTATTTTTTCGCGCCATACAAAGTAATATACCACTCCCTATTTCGGAACAGTCTTCAAGCTCGAGTCATCGACAAAACGCACGACAATGTCAGAGACCGCTTTGTCGTAGGCCATGCTGACAGTGTCACCATTCCTATTGTCGCGGTACACCTTCGTTATTGATGATCGCCAACATTTTTTCTCCGTGCCGTCACTGATGAAACAGTACAGCACACAAACAATCTTGGTGACTACGATTTTCGTCTGCAACGGTCTCATTTACGAGCGTTTTCGTTCTCAGCTTAAAGACGAGGAACGAATGAAAGGCAGACACAGACGAATAGATTCAGTAGGCTCTTGTACCCCGTAAACAAGACCTCAAGTGTCTTTCTGAGTTGGAATTTGTAAAAGTCGAAGAACTTCAGAGTTGAGAAAGCGCCCATGTTAAAATTCTGCATGAAACATAAAATGCAGGGCGAAATGGCTTAAAAAGATTAAATTTTATTTAAATTCGCAACCAGCACTAACAATTTTCGAAACTAAACACTAGCGGGGAACAAAAACGGTTCACACGGTTGATGAACATGTCACCATCACTCGTGGGTTTTCGATCAGGTTTACGATCACAGAAGCTCATCCATGTTCTGTCCTCATGTAAGTCTGTCTTCTGTCGATAGTCTTGCTATATCCCAGGTGGCCAAACCGATGTGATCTCAACCTTCATCACATATGCTGCCCTATATGATAATGGTAGAGCAATGATGGAACTTCTCTCCGAGAAGTGACTTACTGGATATATGGATATATGACAGCATATAGTAACCTGACAATTTTCGGGAAAACAATCTCAAAATATATGCCAGCTTATGAAGATGTTCAAGGTGCACAATTTTTTAACCATATTACGCACCTTAGAAGTTCTAGAACTTTATTATTTACAATGAAATACACAATGAAATATAAAGTAAATTGGCACAGTTGAGTGTCACGTCAAGATCCACTGCTTACCTTAAAGGTATTCGTGGATGATAGCTTTTAGAAATTGCCCGCTGTGGCAGTTCTGCAGTCTATCATGCAGTACTAAGAGTAAGAAAGCTCGGTATCAATTTAAAGACGAATGAAAAGGCTTCAAGGTCAAAGAAGTTTGCTCGACTTGCCGAGACTCTAGAAATGAGCAGCCATCAAAAGCCTTTCGACGGCGCAGTAAACCTCGAAATTAAAACTATGATGTGTGTGGAGGAATGAGGGACAACAATGATAGACACTAGCAAAGGTTTTCTTTATATAGGGTCGGCTATGTATGTTGTCGAAAATTACTAGTATGATGAAGCGTGTTTCCCAGAAGGTATAGGCTAAGACTCATAAGGTGGTTGAAGTTATAGTTGATTGTTAGGCCCGCAACGAATTGAGTTCAATGTATTTACTTCGAAAATTATGGCGGCTTTTAATATTATTCTGGCGAAACTTAGCTTACATTACTTTCACTGCAATGGCGTTTTTCGCACAATAGTCTGAGGCGCCCTGCAACGCATACGTGGTATTGGATCCCGCGCACATGGCCCACCAAGCCTTCCAACCCTCCGGAGTCTGTAAAGTGGTACATCGGGAGGCCACCGCGAGTCATTTTAAAGACCAGATTTGCATTCAGCCATCTCCAAACGATGCTTAGTGAAGTGGAATGCATGTCGCATCCCTCAACGATTGATCAACGACGACAGCTTTATCCTTTGTCTCTTACATCTTCACTGGTTCGAATGAAAATAGTTAGAATCTATAGATCTCTGAGCGTAAGGTACAACTTAGTCATTCTGTGGGTATGAAAGCTCCATTTACTGGAGCCAAGTCACTTCACATGTGATGGCTCGTCTTCCGAACAGGAAAGTATTTAAACAATCAGAATTTCATTTAGCAGAAGAAATGTTGTTCTCTAATGCGTTGTTTGTGATTATATCTGAGGCTCTTGCATTGGAAATTGAAAAACTTAAACTTGGATTTCTATTTTTGGAAAATTTCAACTCCAAATTTGCAAAAACTAAAATAATACTAAACAAAAATCTTATATGTACATATATGTGTATATACAGTGTGGTAGAGCAAAATCTCTTGCATAGATCCATCCCGTCCCCAACTATTCAAACGATGATTGAGAAATCATTGTAGTTGTCCAAAAACAAGCTTCGAGCATTATGCATCGACGTGTGCGGATTTCCTCATTTACATTCGCTCGGAAGCAAGTCAACGAGTCCTTTGCGCAACTACCTTCGTTTTCGTCGACCTCCCCGTTACTAACACTACTCTACGTATGCCGACGGGTGTATATATGCATAGTATGAGTCTATCCGATGTTGCATAAATAAGCAGTATATTCCGCGAATCCATATCTTGTAAGAAATAGCAGTTTGGTCCCGTTAGGTCTCATGATAACATCCAACATCTGCTAACAAGGATATAACGAAGATACCTTGGATGAGTAAGTATAGTCTATCAGCAAACCTATTAGATTATTTTGCAGGAATCTAAAAATGAAATCTTCAACTGTAGAACATCATATGCCAGCAATCACCACGTGTAGTGAAAATTACGAAGGGCCTAAAAGTGGAGCAGGAATGTCAGGTATAAAAAGAAATTAAGGAGTTCTGTGCTGGTAATTTAACCAGTGGCCTACCTGAAAGGATTGAGTTCTGTCGGTGATCTCCTTGTTTTTCATTCTTCATGTTATCTTTCCTGTTAATTAAACTTCTTACTTAACATACGAAGTAATATTTCATTCAAAAGCTTATTAATTATGGAAACTCTTCCCCCATTCACTTTAGAGTCTATTCTCTTTCTCACAGAGAACATTCTCCATCTGTTCATACAATCATGCATTCCTATTGTTAGTCACATGTTTTTCTGTATGATACAACCTACCGGCATTTCAGAAGTGCTCAGTCTATTTTGAGCAGTGTCATCGAATTCTTACTTATTTGGTAAGATAGAATTTAGTTCAACTTCACATGTAGTGCACGATATTAGTCACATCCCTATTGAATGAACTTCGTGGCGACATCAAGTACGACTTCACCATTTAGTGGTAGAATGCCATTCCGGACAATATACAACGTTCTATGTCATTTTTTGGAAGCATGGTGCTTTGCTTCTTAAGCTTTCAACTCTGTCCGACTGTTTTTGCCCCTCACCATCGATTACTCACCATTGTCATTTTCAGAAATATTTCCACACCATTTACCAGCTAATATAAGATCGAATTTTGCAGGACATATTGCCATCATAAAAGCAAATCAGGAAATCATGTTGGATGGCAGCAAACCAATTGGCGCTCTGGATAAAAGGGAAACATTGAATGAAAATGCTTCATTCAAGCACTACGCTACTCGGTCTGATCAAACCGGATGCGACATACGAACAGCAAATAGCGAGAACGAATAACTGTGTTCTGTCGACTGGGATCATCGGCTGTGAAGAAGAAGAAGTTGAAATATCAGTCAAATAAACCTTCTGTCAACTCGTGTTACTTTATTAATCCAAGCATGTGCTTGGAGAACAACGTTCTATATTTCTGCTGAGTTAACACGAGGCCGGTACAAAATTTTATTCAGCTAACGTTTCGGCGCAATCGCATTCCACAGAGCGGAGTTGACCCGAGTCGGTAGACAGTAGCTTGTAGTTATCGCAATGTAGTTGTTCGTGGTCGCATCTTATCGAATCCAGTGGACTCAGTGGAGGTAACACTACGCGGATGGAGAACTTCGCTGCATAGTCTCATATTGTTATTATATTACGCTCTCAGGTAATAGTTAATCAAAGAAACGGTGCAAAAAAGTGTCATCTGCTTCCGAGAAAACAATATGGAATGACGACAATGACAACGAACAACGAAATTGCGATAACGACCAGCTGTCGACCACCGACCAGAATCAACGCGGCTTTGAGGAAGGTGAAGGCGCCGGAAAATTAGCCGAATAGAAGTTAATACCAAATTCTTGTTGGTTCAGTCGTGTAGAGGATTACTGATTATTATTACCCCGTTTTAATGAAACTAGGTTTTTGAGATATTCGGGCAAAAGTAACTGTATGGACAACATTCGCTAATTTGTGGAGAATGCTGCCTGTACCATCGAGACAATGCTATAATTACTGGTGTTAAAGTTGATTCTTCACATCACTACATTCCATATTGTTATGCACAACAAACAGCAAATAACCTTATTTGTGGAAAAACGCGCCGTTTTATCAGCGTCGAACGGACAAGCAATTCGTGAAATGACAACATCTCTATCTTTAGCTCCTTCGTTATTGCAATGGCTAGTGAACTAGGAACAAGTTGGTATGTCTGTCACTTTCAGCTGGTTGATCGCTGCGAATGGATAAACATCCCGAAAAGCTACCGTTGACAACTACTCGGAGCTCTTCGCTAGTAGCTACCAACGTCATAGCTACCGCAAACATCACCATATTCGAAGCAAACCACTGCCACGGACGACGAATGCACGAGAAAAAACGAGTAGAAAAGCTGTTCGGGTCCGTGCCAGTGGCAAAGACGAACCATTTTAATAACCAACTATGCAGGCCTAATTAACCTTATATGAATGAAGACCGGATTATTACCTTATACTGAAGTGCTTCTCAACTTAGATGATTCTAAATAAGACGATCTTTCTCCAGTAATGACGGTGCAACATCCACAAGCACTACCTCCCAAGATTAATCGAGTGTTCATTCCTCGATAATAGCTCCGAACTTCTTAGTTTTTCATACTTATCCACGAAATTTGAAGTTGTTACGTTACCAAACAGAGGTGCACTCGGTAGACTGGCTATCCTGGCCCTCAAATGACTCAGTAATTTGCCATAAAGAAAACCATAGAAAATTTTGATTCGTCAATAGAATTTGTATTTTATCTTTATTGGTGTACTTCAAAAACTAATCGAATAGGATAAAGTAGTAATTCTTGCTTTATCCAGGATATCATGTGTATACAAATTACATACGTACAGATATAGGACCCGCTTCGGGTTGACCGCAACATTTCATGCACATGATCTTCACCGAATGATGAAGAAGAAGACACGAATTGAATTTGCTTAAGACCTGGTGTTTAGGTGAACGCCGGAGATTCGAGCAAATGAGAATGGATTAATGATGCTGTGTTAGCGTCTACTAGCTTAACGTTCACACGGCTTCCTTCATTGTTTGTGTGATGATCACGGTCGCTTGTTGGAACTGTCTGGAAACCCGACTTTGACTTCTTCGAACAGAATGTCGAGAAGAACTAAACACATCGAAATATAGTATGACATTGACGACATCTCATTTCTAGTGAAAGAACTAAATAAAGCGGCTATTGATTGACTACCTATTGAGCCCCGAACGCCTGAAGCCGTAGGCAAAATGGTGCTGTGCGATAAGGCTATGTAATATGTATTGATTGCAAAAGCGGTTGTACCCACTACGAGAGTAAAAACTGGGGATATTTTTCCCATGAACGTATATTTCGTTTACGTTCAGTCTTCGTTTACGATTAAAAAGACGTGGATCAATTTCGGCTTTGATAATCTTCGTCGTTTACACGCCGACATCAAACTATGACGAAGAAGAAGTCGAAGCGTTCTATATGGACTTGGAGAAGTTCTATAGAGAAGACCACACATTTTTCAAGGTCATCATTGGAAGTTTCAACGACAAGATTGGACCAAGAAGAACGCCTGAAGAACGTCACATTGGGACCCACGGATTAGAATGGAACGAACAGGGTGAGCGGCTATCTGAGTTTATCATAGCGACCAAGACAATCCATGGTAACTTGAAATTCCAGAAGCCCCATCCTCTGCGCTGGACGTGAGAGTCTCCCTGTGGAGAGTACCACAACGAAATAAACCACATCATAGTAAGTAGAAGGTTTTGCCTAACCGATGCCGCTGTTGTCCCAAAATTCTACACGGGATCAGACCATCGTCTACTTCGAGCAAGATTCTATTTCTCGTGGAAAGGATAAAAAGCCGCTAAATTCAAAAACCATAGTCCCAGAACCACCACAAACTGAGGCTTATTCAATTTATTAGTCGGCTGTAGGAAAGATGCCGTTGTCGATCGGCTCATTCAGCACCTTCACGCTAGCGTCCCTACTCAGTAAATAAAGATTCTTCGTGAACTGTACAAAATTTCACAGCTAGAGTATCACCATTCTACAACGATATTAACATTGATGTCAAAAGAGGAGTTAGGCAAGGCGATACTATCTCGCTAAAATTATTTACCGACACCCTCCAGAACGTCATGAGAACATTGGAATGGGATAATATGGGAGTGAAAATCGACGGTCGGCAGTTATGCCATCTTCGCTTTGCTGATGACTTCATCCTTATAACACCAAACAATAGCCAAGCGGAATGTATGCTTGACAACTTTGATAAAGCCTGTGGGAAAACTGGTCTTCGACTAAATCTCACAAAAAAATCTAAATCTGTTCAAGAACAACGGATTGGTTTCGCGTGCCCCATTCACGCTCAACGGAATGAATATCTTCGAATGCACCAGTTATATCTATCTAGGTCGGGACGGGAAATCAATATGATGAGCGACCTAGCTCCAGAGCTGAGCAGAAGGAAACGAGCAGCTTGGGGAGCTTTCAAGAGCATCGAGAGCGTAGAGAAGAGAACAAAGAGCACCCGACTTCGTGCCGACCTTTTCGACTCAACGGTACTTCCTGCCCTAACGTATGCGTCAAAAACTTGGTCGCTGCCTAAGCAGGATGAAAGGCTACTCAGCGTTTTCGAGCGCGCAGTCGAAAGGACGATGGTAGAAGTATACTGCTCCACACAAGTAAGGTATGTGATTCGAAGCAGCGATCTGCGTCAACGATCAAAAATCAGAGATGCCGTTCTGTACGGCAAACAGTCGAAGATTAGGGTGGGGCAGACACGTAATGCGTATGAACGACAACCGATGGACAAGAGCCGTTAGTGACCGGATTTCTCGGGATGTCAAACGCATAGCGGGAAGACCACCGACCCGATGGTCAGAGTTCTTCACGAGGAGCCTAGAAGAAAGATGTGATGTTCTACGAGTCCCTCGAGCGACCAGAACCCACTGGGCTGCTGTCGCACGCGACAGGGAAAAATGGAAGATTTACTGGCGCCCGCTCGAGTCACTCGACGATCAACGGGACTACAGGTGATACAGGTGATACAGTTAAGTGCAAATGATTCGTATTTCGGTCTTATTCTCATCTGCTTTTCGATCGGATATCGTACAAGTATGCGCAGTACGGTAAAAAAAATTCTGAGGCCCATTAAGCTGAAAATGAACACAGCATCCATATCTTTGCGAATGGATTAAATCAATGTTGCTAGGTACAACCCAAAAATGGTCAGTTATAATGAGAACTATTGCCAACAAAACACATGTTTATCACCCTAGTAACATAGTTCTTGAAATTCTGAAGGAGAAGAAATCTTTGAGGGGTCCCAGGAGTCGCTTCAATTTAGAAAATTTCCCATGTTAGTAGTTGTCGAGGGATTTGCAACACGTAATAGGTCAGCGCGCAAGTATGGTGAATGGGTAGAACTTGATAGCTTAAGTGTACTTACTTATGTACCAATTTTGAACAAGCTATTGCATCGGAGAAAAAATGCCCCAAAATGCGTTTATTTGCCGGTAGTCTAAAACTGATTAATGTAAGCAATCGTTTAGTAGACGATTTCTCCAAATCCTTTTCTACCGTTCAGCAATCCACCATATTCAAGGGACTAGAGGCAACTCTGCGACTGAGCAAGACAAATAAACCACTTTTAACCTCTTAGAGAACTGAATTTATCAAGAGTTATCTGAAGTTTGCACATTGATCCATCAGCCGCTTTTAACTGTCGCCAAGTTGTACAAGATATATACAATGTTTATTGACTACCAAGTCACATATGCTGGTTCCAGCAAAATTTCTATTGGACACTGTCGAATCCCATTGATGCCCAGCAGCTTCTCCTTCCTTCAGGGAACACGAAAACGATCACATTTTTATTCAATGCCCTTATTTTCAGTCATTTTAGGCAAAACGATGACCAGGGTCAACAACACACATGTAACTCTACCGTACGAATGTGTTTTTGTGATCATAGGAAGTATAACTCAGTCAGACACCTGCAAAGACGACGAAACCATCCTCAGAATCCAAACGAGCCTCAGGGAAAATGGATGCTTCCTTTTGATCAGCGCTTAATCCTTTGTCTACCTATGAAGGCCTATAGCTTTTTGAGTGACCGCGTGATAAAGACCACACCCAGAAAAGTATAGTCGGAAACTGGAAAAAAGTCAAACCGAACAGTTCAATACCTTTTTATCGCTTGATTTTGTTATCGGTGCTCCGCTGTGGTTTTCACTTGATTGAGGACAACACATTCTGAATGTACGCAAGAACTCCCTGAAAAACGAGTTACTTACATCGCTGTAGAGATAATTTGACAGCCACTATAAAATCTTCGTTCTCTTTAATGAAGAAGTAGCTGCGGATGCTGCTTGATGCCTGTAGTGCTTACCTTCTGAACACATGAGACATCAATGCGCACAGCACAAAATTCACAGCACTGTTGATAAGCGACAGCAGATCGAAGAAGTTGCCCAGAGGATTTATGATGAACATCAGACGTGGGTTCACCCCTGAAATTTTTTTCTTGGCGTACTGGTATCATAAACATCATACCTCTGATTTCAAATGCTTAACGACTTCCGAATTCAACAAGAAAGAATATAAGTTTTTAACCATAACCGATTTTAAAAATAAATATGAAGTTTAAGAGAAAAAATTTCTTGAATGAAACGATTGTTGCCTAAGATCTTAAATCGGGTTTGAAAAGTACTGCATAAATAAACTATGACGCTCTCGACGTTGATCAATCCCTGAGGAATTCGCCATACACTTAACTTCATTAAGCATTAAGACTGAAAGCATATTTAGCCTATACAATGACTTGCGATGGATCGAACCAGTGGTGCCATCCTGCCGGATATGTCTGGCAACAACTCCCCGGATGTAAGGTTTGGTGAACCTGGGATACCGGATTGAACCAACTAGTCCGTGTGCATTGCAAAGCACCTCTACCCAGTACCCTCCACGTGTCCACTAATACTGGAACACTATTCAAATACGCTGCTCAATAGGCACAAGGCCCTGCTCCATCTATTTGGCTCCTTACTGGGCTAAACAAGCCTGTATATGTCTGTGTTAGTAAAAATCGTACCAGGTTTTTCTGGAACCAGCCTACCCCTTCCAATTTACTTCGGCGCACCATATCGTGACTATTTAAGCATTTTAGAAAGAAACGACGAAATCAGCTCCTGGTGACATTTATTTAAAAAAACAAAAATTTTCAGACAGCAGTTGAATCCACACGCAAAGATTTTAAAGACCATTGTGGATGGTAGATGCAGGACAAGGAACCGAATTAAAAAAGTGCTGATCCCCGGCTATGTGGAGTAAAATAAATACGGATGGCAATAGAAATTTAATTGTCTCTTGTTATTCTAGCAAGTTAAGCTTTTATCTCGCCGCTTAGAAACAACATAACCAGTTTTCCAAAGGGAATAAGCATCCTCATTACGTTCGTGACGCCATGGATGTGGTAAACATATTGAATTGCTCCAGGAAACAATTCGGCCAGTTATGGTACCATTATTAGCCGGATTTAACCATGAGCTGGCTTAGATGAATGTTTCGTTATCTTCTTAGCGACACATTAATCAACATCTCACAAAAACATACCTACTGCGAGGCCTAGGATTCCCTGAGGCAATTCGGTGATCAGAAATACAGCAACAATGCCTGTCAGCATAGCGGTAGTACGTTCGGCCTACAAACATTACGAAGGAAATTATACTACACAGCACTTCAGAATAAAAGTGGACGAAGTTCCAACCTGGGAATTCCCCGTTGCAACGCCTCCAGAGAGTCGCAATCTTCGCTCACGTGCTTCGATCAACATTCGAACTAGTAAGGTCATGAATACCGTAAGCAGAACACACGGCACCAATTTGAGGACACATGCTGTAAATGTTATAGTTGAAAGAACTGACAGTACAGTGTGTTTTTAGTACGTTTGCAGTTTTCTGAGGGAGAGTGCTGTTCCGTTGTCATAGAACGATTATCTGAAATCTCGCTTTAATACCAGAACTTTTGCTTGCGCTTCATTCATTCCTAAGAAAAAAAAATTCCCAAAAAAAGTGCCTTATTTCAAAACACAACAAAATTGCCAATAATTAGGGTCATCTTTTAGAGTAATGCGAAAATATAAAAGATAAACGATGAAGATCTCGGCGTTGAACGATCCCTGAGGAAAGCGCCATGGATTCTGCTCATCGTTGGAGCTGATTGAATGCATATCTGACCTTTACAGTGACTAACGTGGCCTACCGATGTATCAAGCCAGTGCTGCTTTCCTTCCAGACAAGTCTGGTACCAACTTTTCGACCCGGAAGAATGGAGGGCTTAGTGGGCGACGAGCGCGGGGATCGATTCCATGTGTGTGTCGCAGGTTGCCTCCGACCAAAGCGACACAAGCGCCACCACGTAAAGATATGCAAGTGAAAAATACTGTAATGTTAATAGCACCTTCACTGAGTGTTGTATTTATTTACTTTTTGCTTCTCTATTAGCGCGCTATTCATAAACATTTTGTCTCTAAGAGATAACACGCCTATTTTTTAAATTGAAATACTCGTGATTTGGAATTCATAAATGGGTAGTTGACCCAAGTAAGTCAACTACCATGTTTAGCACGAAAAAACTACCTACGAAATTTAGGCTTTTCGTTAATACTCTAGTAATAATAAAAATTGACAAAATGTTTTAAAACGTACCTGCCATCCAGAAATTCACCCGCTCCCAATGACAGTTCCACCAGCTCGGCTGCGATAGATCGTACTTATAGATGGTGTCGGTGGCAAACCATGAAGATTTGTATTTGGTTTGAAAGCAAATTTTTGGAACTTCCATCTCCACCACAAATTCAATCTGAATATTCACTGAGTGAAGTGGATATCAAATAAACACATTCCGAGGTATTCCTCCTCATTCAGCTACCGGTTTTGCGCCAAAATTCAGGGTAAAACTGTCCTCAATACTTCTTCAGTGGAGAGTTCCATCGTCATTAGATCCCTAACAATCATTTTCACTATCGCATATTTCACACGATTCCCGCACCTCCTCTCCCTTTTATGGTTGCCGCTTCACTGCAGCTGGTAGTGTTCCTAGGTATCATAATGTGATAATGTTCAGCGGGAATTCCAGTGGAAGGCTCATTAGCTCAACAAGGCCGCCCAAACTGAGATGGTGTTCGATATCTCCATTCCAAAGCCAGTTAAGAGAAAATCATCCCAACATTTGCTATCATTTCGGTAACATCCCAGTCACTAATAACGAATTGGAAATGTCTAGCACGCCTTTCGAGACCACAGGCACAGAATATTTTGGCAAATTATGTTTGGACCAGGAAAATGCAAATTGTGCTAGAAGCCCACAAGATTCTTGGTGAACTGTAAATAGACCTCCTATGAACTATGCATTTTTGGCTGCTCAGGTATATTTAAAAAAACCGAGATAGAACGGAAATGGAAACTCGAAAGTAGTCTCTAAAACTTCAATGATGCTGAGATATTTGCAAAACTCCGGACCGCATGTGTATGCGGTGGGGACAAACCCGCGATGTTGTCCTTACCGGGGAGCAGCGCACTTCACCACCACACCACGCGGATCCTTCGTTTCGACTGTCTCTCAGCTAGTTCTATCAATCTTTTGCCATCAGCAATCACCCGTCAGTGGGATTGATCTTGGGGGCCTAAATTGGCAACGAACCCAGTTAAACTGAGCAAATATCGCAGCATCATTGAAGTTGTATTTCGCAATATACACCCTGCCGCTAAAAAGAGTAGGCAGTAAATAATAAGTTAAAAAAGTAGTCTCTAAAAGCCCGAAAGAGACCAATCAATATCCAAAATACTCTCAAAGAAAAAATGCCATGCTCCAAAATGCACGGCATGGCTTCGATCGTTTGGAATGCTGGAATGCTCGGAAGTTTCAAGTTTTTGTCGTTCGCATGGGACCGAATTAAATGAGAGACATCCCACACAATTCCAACAAATGATGATGATCTAAGGAAAAAATGCCATGTCACTCGATATTTCTGACAGACTTCTATCTTCCTCTGTAATTTGGAAAACAACGAAATGATGGCAAAAGTAAATGTAATCATTTTAAACGAGACAGACGGTATAAAAATCCGCAGAGAAGTTTTCGTAGGTATTTAAACTGCTCTATTAGAAAGTTGAAGCCAAATTACCAGAAAATAACACGAAAAAGTTTTATTGTCCAAACCTTCCACCCCTAAAATTTCGAGGTTTAAGATTTTATATTGAAGAGAAGAATCTGTGTTCAACAACCATTCATGGACGAAAGCATTCTAGGGGTTCTGTCAAACGTGCTCGGAAATTTCAGTTTTTTTTTATGATCCATCATATAACATACCCTATAGCGAAACATATTCGGAAGACTTCCGATGAAGGCGATCACCACACCGATGACGATGGCAATGCAGGCGGCCGGATAGCCGTTGCACGGTGGAAGGCGGCTGTGGGGATGACTCCCACGGAACAGTACCAGATATCTGGAAGTACACAGATTCTTCGGATCGGCATTTGTCGGAAATTCGATTGTTTTCTCGAAGAAAGATTGCTCTTCACACCGAAGTGTCTGACTCTGCATTATGAAAGTTTCAAGCATTTCCCTCCAGTCAGTTCTGTCAGTTCGGTTATGATTGCCCAGTCAAATCTTTCACTTGTAAGTCGTTTATACGAGGGACTAAAGTGCAAATCTCTCTCTGTGCCCTTATAACTAGTGTGCTTGTTTTCATTTCAAGTCACTTACAATTTAGGTCAATGCAATGAAGATAGAAAACATCGCTTATCATTTCCTACCCGATACGATCTACGATTTTATCGCATCTGGAGACTCAAACCTTTCTACTGATGGAGTTCCTATGTTTTCAACAAGTTTAGAAGAGTGTATCGATTACAGTGCTCCTGCTAAGGCCTAATTCAAAGAAAGCGCAACACCTCAAACTTTCCATTCCAAATCGGGCACTTCACACTGGAGTTCTAGACCGGCGAATAATATTAAGTGCTATTAGTTGAATTTTAGAACACAAATTTCTCGTGTAGCGGTAGTTCCTCAAATTCTACATCTTATTAAAGCATTTTTGCAAGTACTGTGACCCTTTCCGAAGGTGGCTACCATCTCACTCTGACTACGATACTGCGACTAACACAAGTGCTTCAGCTGCATATTGGCACTGTGTCTCTGCATGCCTACCTCATCACAGCCATATTCACGGTGATCCAGAGACTGGCACTATGCACGAACACTGAGAACATCGCGTAGAATCTGGTGTAGATCATCCATGCATGCGTGAAGAACCACGGATGACACATTTCCACCTGAACAATGCCCCATTTCACTCATCATGTAAGTAGAAGTGAATCACTACGACGGTTCGGGTTATCATGAGATTACCTATAAAATGTTTCAACACTTTTCAAACTTCTCATAACGATTTTTGAGACATTCATAAGCTCGTTCTTCTTGCCATTATTACATCCAAATTTCACGCACTTCCAATAACATCGTTCTGATAAATCTGGATCTCTATATCACTTTGATATATTAGTACACTTCCCTTCAGAAAGAAGAGTTGTTTCCACCATGTTGTTAAAACATTTTTGCAGCTTGTCCTTTAAAGCGTTTCTTTTCCTTTCTTTAGTTTATTTCCTTAGTTATCGTCTCGATTTTACAGCTACGTCTATGAGTAAAAAGCGTTAGACAGGCGCCTTACAAGCAGGTATCTTAACATAATTTAACTCACCTATGTAGGATTCTGGATGGATAATTCTAAAAACGGAAGCATAGAAAAACCAATGCAGAGTTTCCGAACAGGAAGGCTTTAAAATTCCTTTGAATAGGAGCAACTTTGACGCTCCTCATAGAAGGGGTTCTTATAAACAGTCCAAGGAAAATTCTCAAAGAATTTTTCCACAATCCAATGAAGCAGCCTGCATCTCAGATTCCTCTAAGATGGAAACAAAAGAGTGAGTTGATCTTTCGTTCTATATGGAAAAGGATTAATTGAAACACTTAGGTTGGATTTTGCCCGAAAGTAAGCCTTGTACAAAAAAAGCTGACAATAATCGCTAGCGACTTACGAAAATTCAATTTTTTCCATTTTTTCGAAAAACACTCACTGGCGCCAATTTTCCTAAAACGTTTCGAAAAAAAATTCCAGCAAATCCTTCTGCTTACGACAGCGATGAAAGAACAGGAGGTTTTTTTTGAGACAAAGGGAAACCACCATCAACAAATAAATATGCTATTGCGAAAATAACGGATGAATTGCACTAACAGTTCCGAATGTTCCATTTACTCGATTTTAAGTTCACACTTCGAAACGGTTCATTCAATCGGAAACAGCCTATTTTTAACAAAAAGACCAATTCATGAAACTTTTGGGACAAAAAAAATTGAGGCTCCACAACTGTTTCATGCTCGCAACATAAAAGGTGCGAACTTCTTGAAGAAGTTCATAGAAGAAAGAATCGCTGTTCTCGACTTACGTGTTTATAAAGTAGATAAGTTGCCATTAAGGTAGCATCACAGATTGCAATACAAATTAGGAATAAATTGAATGGAGAGCGTCGCATCGCTGGGCTGAAAAAAAAACAGACGATTCACGAGCAGAACAACAACAGACGGAGTTCTATTTGCTACTACTACTAGTACCATAGTATTTGTTACTAGTAGGGACGCGGGTGACGCAGTGGTCAGAGGCGCCTTGCAACAGACACGTGGAATCGAACCCGGTGCCCATGGTCCACCAAGCCTTCCATCCCTCGGAGTTTCGGCAAATTGGTATCCGACTTGTCTGGAAGGATAGCAGCACAGGCTCGATACATCGGTAGGCCACCGCGGTTTATTGTAAAGAACAGATATACATTCAGTCACCTCAAAACGATGCTTAATGAAAGCGAATTCATGACGCATTGCTCAGGGATTGATTAACGCCGAAAACTTTGCCCTTACTAGTACCACTGCTCCAAGTAGTCGACAACCATGTCTCTGACTTCGCCTATCCTAGTTTTCTGGGCTAACAACTCCTTTATTACTACTAAAACTTTCTTGTGCGCCTTTAACGCAGCACCTCCTTCGGAGAGCCTGAGATCGCGACCACAGAGAAACACCGTATTTAATGATGACACAGGGGACCAAGACAGTCTTTAAAAGACTTTTTTCAGAAAAAAAAACTTTTACTATAATTTTAGTTCAAGATGAGCGTTAGACTATAATAAAGGCAAAAAATTTCCAATTCATTCGCCGTATAATGATATGAATTGAGACACAGATGGAATGACAAATGCCTTGTTTCTTGAGAAGTTGGATGGTCCGTCATCACAAATCATTCGCGCTCTAGCACATTCCTCGCGTTCCTGGTCGGTGCTTGGATCGGGTACAGTATAATCGGTAATCCAAGTCTCTAAAAAACCGTAATAGAGTTCGGTGACGTTCCGGGTTGTCACTTCAGTCATCCATCGGACGTTAGAAATCACAAAGATAATTTTTATCTTTGCGACTGAGTTTGCTTCAAGATGACGATTCCTAAGATTGGTCGCCTGCCAGCTGGACTCTCCGCACTACTTTTTAGCCTACCTGGACTAAATTTGGGCGATAAAACCTAGATGTACATAACAGTTTCACACTCAAGAGAGACACATCACCATTAGAAACAATGAGTAATAAGTCATCGACAGATATGAGGTCTAGATATGGGCAAATGTAGTAATAAGCAAGCGATGACCGACGGTTGAAAAACATCCTAAAAAACAAATAAAATTTACTAGTCTGCAACCATAGAGTGGATTTCAATGGAATTCGGTAGAACTGCTGATCATGACAAGATCTGAGCAATCGCTTCACTCGACACTCGAAACCGTGAAGAGAATCAGAGCACCCCCGACACAACATCAATATGTGTTTCTTTCTTTCTATGGCATGTTTTATAACGTCAAACATACCGTAGCAAAACGACGACGATGGCGACGTTGGCGAACACACCAATCACACATAAGAAGACGTAAAGGTAAGAGTGAATCTGGGAGAAGACGCTGGTGAACGGGGCGAGAAACTGAAACAACGGATTCCTGTGAGTACCGGCTTACCACCAATCATCGAAAAACTGAGTTCTAGAGGTTGTTTGTTCGAAATGAATTCTCCCATCAAACGAACCGGACTGCTTCAAAAGGTGGCGGAGTTAGGATGATTTTTGAAGGAACGGCTTTCAGAAAACCTCGACATAGATAGCTACTGTCCTTGACGATTTCATGACTATTACTATTATTACTGTTATTACGACTTTTGTTACTACTTTTGATATTATAATACTTTTTATTACTTTCACAGAAATTTCTACCCGAGGAAACCCAATATTTTAATCTGAGGAGGAAATCTAGTTGTGGTCAAACGTCTTTAACGTTTGTACGTTGGTAAAATTTTTCTAAGCTTACAAAAATATATTTTTAAACGGGAGTATGTTAAATATGGATTTCGACTAACCACCCCTTTATCAAATTTTCCTACTTTTTTCCGACGGAACGAATCCGTGTTTTCTTCTTAACTAAAACACAACCGATATTAAGGCTTAGCTTCTTATTTACCACCTATTATTAATTTTACGGCAGAGTAGTATGTAACATACAATCACAATAATGCAGAGATATTTGCAAAACTAGGAAGTTAGGCCAGATTCAAAGCCGGGATTAACCTATGTGTTACCCACTGCACTACTGCGGCTCTTGCTTTGCCTTCCTCTCAACTTCAGTTTTTTACTTTAAAGGTAATTGTGGGTTCGAATCCTCACTGCTGTCCAGGTTTTGCAAATATCTGTCCATTGTTGTGGATGTATCTCATATAATACCTCGTCGTGAGAGAAATAGTAGGTAACAAATAAAAACTTAAACACTGTGATTTCAACTGCAACTTCAGTTTAACTGGGTTCAATACCGATTTCTGCTCCTCGGATCATTCTATTTGACGAGTGACTGCTAATGGCACCGTTAAGGTAAAAACTAGTTGATAGAAGGACAGGATAAGACGCTTAGAGGTGCAATGGGTAATACGTGAGCCCCCCCAAAAAAATAATCGCGGGTTCGAATCTGGCCTAGGGTCCAGGTTTTGAAAATATATATAAAAATATAAAAAAATAAAAATCATTTTGGCTGCATCTCACAATTAATACGGTTAAACTGTTGAAGTCACCAGAGCATCATGGTAGTTATCAGTATCTGCGTGGTGTTTCTCTACTGCGATTCGATACAGAGTCTAACTGCTAAGATTCGGCCCACGACACCCTCATGCAGGAGTTCGAACAATCATCAACACGATTGTGTCTCATCGTGATCCAGTACATTATTAGATTATGCTGTCTACGTAAAGTTCTATAGCATTTTTAAGGCACGGCTGTCATTCTAAATGCTGTCAACTTGGAAAACAACACCAATCACGTTCAGATGTGCCTTGGGATTTGGATAGTGGCAGAAACTGAGTACAAGATTCAGTCTTGTCATCCGAGCCGTTATCTTGTGCCTGCGAAAACGACTACACAGCATGAACTACGAAGCAGTCCAGTCTGATCGAGAACGTAATAGATATTCCAGTTATTGGGGAAATTGAAATTGAGATAGAAAACAAAAGTAAGACCTAGCAAATAGCATTAACGATGTTTACGACTTTGTCCTTTCGCTAAAATCTCGTTGAAGTCGACTTATTCAATGACTCCCATTATTGCCAACGTTAGCCTGTTTGAAAAGTACAAAATGACCTCGGAGACATAGAGAGTCGTTTCGTAGTTGATTAGGAATATGAACGCCCTAGAAGACAAGCGTTTCGATGTATGTTCAAGAGGTAAAAGAATAGAGGTAAAGAGTAGTTCAAGAGGTGAAACTTAATTTTTAGTGGATTAGCACATCATACTCATTCTTCCCTAGTTACCGCACGACAAGAGAACTTTTGCAGAAGTTTTTGTTGTTTTAAAAATAAACTGTATTCAGCTACGATGGCTTCTTTTCAGAATAAAGATTTCCGAAATCATTATCACATTCACCGCATGTAATTCCGACCACCATCAGCGACGGTGATGAATTATTTGAAAACCAGAAGTTATTATTCTGTGACAAACTCAGATTGCTTATGCGATGAAAAAGGAAAACGTCTTTGGATGTCATTAGATTTGAGCGATACCCAGCGAAATCAATTTCACGATCATTACCCGATGTTTGGTCGACCAATTCTTACTATAATTCCTGTTCGAATGATTCCGATGAATGGGAGAGGGAACTCAATTGAATTCAAACATGCTTGAGTCTATTCCGTCTTCGCACCCTTGTTGTTGTTGACTTGCTTACAAATAATGCTGCTAATGAGTTGAATGTCACGAGTCTGAATTGATGAAGTGCATCGCTCGAATTCGTATCATTTCTTTCTGTGATGAAAAAGATAAATCACTCCAGCGATTCGTAAGGTGGTGGTGATGGCGGTGGTGGTGGTGGTGATGGTCGTACCTCTTGAACAGAGGACTCCTACTAAACTCCAAATAGCAAATGAACGTGCGCTCAAAATATCTTTGATCGTTGTGTTTTTTACTGGAGAAAAAAAATGGCCACCCTTGATTTGTTTAATTTTCATAGAACTTCTCAAGTGCGGAAAGACTTCCAAGAGTTCTGGACTTGCCGCTACAGCTCGCCGTTTAAGTAAAAAAAGACCATTGACTCCTTCCTTCCATCTTGTATTTTTCTGTTTTCCTCTAGTCGCTTATAAGTGCATAACAAGATACTACTGAACCATCCGTACTCACTACAACATTAATCACGGCGGCCATATTTAGGCATTTCCAAAAACTCAAGGAAGAATCATATATTTTAGCCAACTAAGTTTTTTTGAAAGCCAATGGAATCGACCATTTAAAAGCATAGATGGTATTTAGGAAAGCTAGTTCTCAAGCTTCAGTGGCTTAAAATAAAAACGATAAAGCTCTTGGTGCTGACCAATCCCTGAGGAATGTGCCATGCATTCGATTTCAATAAACATCGTTTGGAGCTGATTGGACGCATATCTGGCCTTCACAGTGACTCGCGTGGCTTAGCGGTGTATCGACCCAGTGCTGCTATCCTGCCAGATAAGTATGATACCAATTTACCGACTCCGGAAGGATGGAAGGCTTGGTGGGCCTTAGGCTCTAGAATCGATTTCTCCTTTGTGTTGCAGGGCCCTTTCGACCACTGCGCCAAACGCACGCGCCCTACCACTTTCAGTGGCTTGGAAAGGGTTTTCCACTGGAAATCATAAATAGTTTAGTTCCAAGAGTCATACTCTATAAGGTACCCCTTTGAATATTCAACCACTATATTTTTTGAAACAAATTCAAAATATTACAAAGGCAAAGGTTATTACGATTACTTCCAAACGCCTCACAAACCGTTTTTTATTAGTTGCAAGTTTTTTATCAATCAAAAGCCATTGGTGTAAAATCCTTTTGATGACAAACAATGAACAGCGGAAGCAAGACTGTGCATGTTAGGCGCCGAATATAAATACTAACGTCTTACCGTTTCGACAACATATATGGAAATAAGTTTAACTGAATGTTTCTGCAACAAATCTTTTCATCTACCCCTTTAAAAAGTTCTTAATTTAGGTCATGTAAAAGAGAAAGGAATAAACTGTTCAGCGTTGATCTATTCCTAAGGGATGCGCCATGCATTCGATTTCATTAAGTCTCACCAGAGGTGATTGAACGGATATCTGGCCTATAAATTGACTTACGGCGCCCAAGTAACATATGACTTCGGTGCTAGTATCCTCGCCTGGTAGCACCTTATCGACGCTGGAGTGATGGACAGGCTTGGCAAGCCCGGGCCTGATCTAACGCCGGTGTCGGTATTGCATGGCAACTCTAACCACTGCGCTACACTAGCCAGGCCACCGTATATGAGTTCTACCGATGAATAGGTCTTATCTGTTTTTACTAAAAAATTCGTATGCTCTCAAACACGTCATCATCCGATTTCTTGTCGTTTAACAATCAACACTAATCGCGAGGTTTGTAAACAGCATACATTTACTTCCATAGAAAAACACAATACAATACAACACTAGTTGACGTTTCAGCAGTATCGCCTTCTTCATGGCAGTCGTCAACCATATGCGACTATATTCAGCTGTTCTAAACTTCCTCATTATAAACTAGTAGTTACTTGCAAGCCATTTACCTGAATGTTTTCAGGCCTAAGTCTTCCATGTCAACCTCGTGACGTCGTCGTTCTCATGAATTCAAATCAATGAGACGATACTACACAACTTAGAGAATCAAGTTCGGCACTGGATTGCATGTTCTGACTATACATCGGTATGGCGCTTCAAAATTCCTAATCCGGATATGAAGATGAGGTACTTTAGTAGTTTCTCTGCCAGCAAAGAATCAAAAGCAGCAGAAGCACATTTAAACAGAGTGAAATTATATTTCGTGTCGAAATTCACTGAAGAGGAACGAAAGCACTCCCAGTGTAGCCCCTAATAGAAGATACCAAGGTCTACCTTCGAGTGAATTTATTGCGATAAAAGTAAGATAAAGGACTGAAAAGAGCGATGGCCAGCTCATCGACGGATTCGAGAACGGCGCATGATTCAAAGTCAGCAAAAGTAAAAACCACTCAGTTGTTGGGGGTAGCGTTGGAGAGCATCATTACATTTGTACAATAGCTGAGTGGCAAAAGACCTTAGAGAAAGGGCTTCTGGCACGGCAACAGATCGCCTTTATTGGATTGCACTTCATCAACACCGTAAATGGTGCTCCAACCGCATTCTAGTTGTCTTAATCGGTCTTAAATAATAGGATTTTGCTGGAGTTTGCATTTTAATTCGTTCAAAAACGAACACACATTTCACATTCACAACAGTGCCCGTTCTCTTCTGGTGCGGAAGTAATAGAATAGCCATTTCGACTATGAGTTGAAGCATATGTTTGACTTTACTGGTGCAAAAAGAAAAAGAAAAAGAGTATCCCTTCCCCAACATGCCCATCAAACAGTTACTCTGCCGGTGAAGTCAGGTTAATAGAGCTACTATGAATCTACTTGTTCTGGTGATTAACAGAGAGTCAGAAGAGATGCAGCATCCTACGCCACTTATTAAGACCTATTCATCGGAAATAATAAGCAACTGCACTAAACATCTTTTACGAATAGTTGGTGCGAAGAGCAAAGTAAAACATTCAACGATGATGAAAAACTTCCTCTTTGAGAAGCTGCACACATCCTACAACTAAAGGAAAAAAGCTTTCTATTGAAATTTTCACATGAAAGAGTGTGATTCGATAGTGACTAACTAGCACATTAATTTTAACACGCTGCTGCACTACTTGTCCTGGTGACCGAGCGAAATTGAAACATTTTCGTGGTCTTCAAAACTCTGTTTAGAGATCGCTTACTCGAAATGGTAGTTAACTCGGCCCATTTCCTACAAATCATCATCTAATCGTCTTCTTAAAACTTAAAACGTATATCATTTGGCTAACAAGATTTGCTTAGGGTACTCAAAATCGCATCTCTATGGGGACGTTGTCCACTAAGAACTCTCATATTAACGCCCATGATGAAAGAATCAGGTTTAATGCACTCTTCCATTTATAATATATTGTACGAGTCATGCAGTACTATGCTAAAGTTGTGGGGCGCGTGTGGCGCTGTGGTAGGAGACACCCTGCGACACACGTGGAATTGATCACCGCGCCTATGGCCCACCAAGCCTTCCGTCCCTACGGAGTCGGCAAATTGCTACCAAACTTGTCTGGAAGGATAGTAGCACTAGCTCGGCACATCGGAAGGTTACCGCGAGTCATTCATTGTAAAGCCCGCATATGCATTCAGTCGCCTCCAAACGATGCTTAATGAAGTCATATCTCAGGAATTGATCAACGCGAAGAGCTTTATACTAAAGTTTAATAAACGAAGTGCGTGTAATGCAATTGATAAAGCTACCCTAAAATACAGACTGGATGGATCGCTGATTCTATCCCACGCCCCTGTCTCATCAAGCTTCTACTACCTCGAGGTCGACAAATCGTTACCATAAGGCTTGTTTGGGATGGTAGCAACACTGATCTGCCAAGCCGTGGACCAACACAAGTCATCGTATATTCCATAAATAAATTCAATCAGACCTATAAGACTAGGAATGGAGTCAAATTCATAGCGCTAGCAATTGATGGATGTCGAAAGCTTTGTCCTTCACCCAGGATCGACTTTCTATTGTCTGCTTTATCCTTTGTTTTTATACAGCACAACCCAGTCACCATTTCCTCAAATTGATTTCAAAATGCCATTTTGATGTTTTTGGAGCAGTCCATGAACAAAAGGTATAGCTATTTTCTCAATCAAATCAAGAGTGATGAATGGAAGAATTCATTATATTAACTATTGATTGTGTGCGTGTGTAGTGCTATGTATGGAGGCGCCCTGCAATACACATGTGATCGATCCCACGCCCCACACTCACTGAGCCTTCCATCTTTCCGGGTTTAGCAAATTGGTACCGGACCTGTGTGGGAGAATAGCAGCACTGAGTTCATACATTGGTACGCCACCGCAAGTCAGTCCATAGGACAAATATGCACCTCTAACGATGCTTGATGAAATCCAGTGCATGACGCAACCCAGTGTGGTTAATCATTGCAGAACACTTCACTCTTTTATAACTCGTATATAATGCTGAGATATTTGCAAAACTCCGGATCGTAGGTGTATGCGTTGGGGAACGAACGCGCTATTGTCCTTACCGGGCAGTAGCGCACTTCACCACCACACCAATCGGTCACTCTTTTATAGTTTAACAATCGACGGTTTGCGGTCGGTGGTGTCCGAATCCGAAAACTTTCCGGGTTCAACCAACGTAAGTGCAAATTCATCCAGCTTCACGATTTTTTTTTCTTGTGCAACGAATAATGTAATTACACACTAACACTAACAAGAGGTCTTAGTGGAATAACCAATGGGGAAAGCCCAAAAAAGCACACTCCAAAATCACGCGGCTCTCAGCTGGGCACCAGCGAAGGAGCGTCGGAGTAATGCAAAAATACACGTCAATCTTTTTTAATTGGATTTTTCTATGCAGCTTTGCACCTCATCAGGGAAAAACACTTCGACGACTTTGCGATTGAATTTCATAAAATCGAAGATAATAACAGCGTCTGCCGATTCTCTGTGTTAACCCCACAAAATTTCTTCATAAGCGCTGTTTAAACATAGTTAATGGGCACAGCTCTAATAGTACAAGAATACATGACAGCAGCAATTATAGATTTCGACCTTTTATAAAGTACTGGACCACATTACTGGAAGGAATAGATTGAACAATGTGCAGAAATAATTTATTCCCGTTGACGGGTGATTGCTGATGGCAAAAGATCGATAGAACTAGCTGAGAGACAAGCGAAATGAAGTACGCGCATGGTGTGGTGGTGAACGCGTAACTCCACGGAAAGGGTAATAGCGCGTTCGTTCCCCACCGCAGACACCTACGGTCCGGAGTTTTGCAAATATCTCAGCATTATAATAGTTACATTTCGCAAAATACCATGCCGTTAAAAAGAATAGGCACTGAATAAAAAGGGTTAAGATTGCAAAATAATATTTTTTTTTCCTCTTATACATGTTTAGTTTAGTGTACAAACTATGTGACGCATATAGCCCAATGACTAGAGCCACTCTACTATACCCATGTGGTCGTTGGTTCGACCAGAAGCGCCGTGCTCACCAAGCCTTTGGTCGGTTCAGGGTCGAAAAATTGGTCACAAACTTGTCTGGTAGAATAAAGCACGATTTT